TGCAACGCACTACGGAAAAAATGCCTGAATTTTCTGGGGGATCACTTCTTTGAGGGCATAAACAGCTCCAGAAAACTCCATTAGAGGATCAGCTAAGATCCTAAGCAACACAATGTACCTAAGCGGCCTCAGAGTGAACTTTTATCCGAGCTGCTCGCACAACATCACGTTAAAGACACCTTCTGAAATAGCCGTATATCATACCGAGTACGCTGTCAAAGCTCTTTGTACTTCTTTCGACCATACTAATTGCCACTTATGGGTCTCTGTCCTTTGTAACATTGCTTTGCTTAAGGGAATTTCGCTCTGAGTTCGCATTCGAATTTCATCTAATATAGATACACATATTAACAGAAACAACTATGTATGTATTCACACTAGATATCCACGCCAATGCAGATGGCATTTCGTAAGCAACATTGCCTAGATATATCGGTCGGACTAATTTGTTAAGGTATAAGCATTTTTTGGGTGCACGCATGACCACGATATAGCAATATGGACACGTCGTTATTAGGGATGTTAATTTTTCAGCCTTTTCCGATCCCGGGATTCTCGGTATGTCGTTATCACAATACCGGGATCCTAAGATTAGTCCCGGGATTTAGATCTTCATTCGTTTTCAACAACTTAAATCGAAAAGAATTGCTTCTATATTGTTTGAGAAGCTCTCCTACCATAAAATAAAAAGAAATTAACGGGTTTGAAACCTATGTACTTTTTTTTTTTAAAGTGGCGATTTTATTTTTTCTATCTGACGTCAGGATTTATTTTAAAGAACTTTGTAAGTTCAAAGATATTATAAAGTCTAAAAATTATTTTAAAAATTCAATGCAATGTAGAATAAAANAACTTAAATCGAAAAGAATTGCTTCTATATTGTTTGAGAAGCTCTCCTACAATAAAATAAAAATAAATTAACGGGTTTGAAACCTATGTACTTTTTTATTTAAAGTGGCGATTTTATTTTTTCTATCTGACATCAGGATTTATTTTAAAGAACTTTGTAATTTCAAAGATGTTATAAAGTCTAAAAATTATTTTAAAAATTCAATGCAATGTAGAATAAAAATATGGGTACCAAATGAAAGAGGAAATTTCTATAGATTTTGGGATTCACAAGGACGAATAGGTAATATTTTTTAAGCTGATAAAGTGAGAAGGACGAAATTCGATGATGTTATCGAGTTTATATATGTAAGTCCTTAACATATAATTTTGTCAAAAACAAATATATATTGCGAAATTTCAAGGATATAATTTTAAAAGGCCATTTTCAATACTTATCAGTCCTTCCGATTACTATCGCGCGGTGTTAAGTGTATAATGAGCTAGATATTTATAAAAAGATATAATTATTAAAAAATAAAAATATAGCCAACACTGGTCAAGAAAATGAAGTTTCTATTATAGTCATCAGTGCTAATTACAAATCCCAAATTATTTGCCAAGAATCCCGGGATTTTTCGACTTCAAATAGGCCGGAACCCGGGATCCCGGGACTAACATTCCTAGTATTTGTGCACCTATGTATGTATGTATGTATGCATAAACGTTGGATAATTTACTAATTAGGGTAATATTCAACGCAACTAACCATTCATATGTACATACATAGTTGGATAGCAGATACATGCGCCTATCGTAGTTGAAACTGCTCCCGCTGGTAATACATATATATGTATATACATATTTACTTCATAACCAATGTATATGTGGTCTGGTAGATTATGTTGCTGCTACTGATTTGTTAGGTTTTAGAAGATATCATTGCCGACAACAACAAAATCACCTTGTGCTTGCTACTCAGTNATAGATTTTGGGATTCACAAGGACGAATAGGTAATATTTTTTAAGCTGATAAAGTGAGAAGGACGAAATTCGATGATGTTATCGAGTTTATATATGTAAGTCCTTAACATATAATTTTGTCAAAAACAAATATATATTGCGAAATTTCAAGGATATAATTTTAAAAGGCCATTTTCAATACTTATCAGTCCTTCCGATTACTATCGCGCGGTGTTAAGTGTATAATGAGCTAGATATTTATAAAAAGATATAATTATTAAAAAATAAAAATATAGCCAACACTGGTCAAGAAAATGAAGTTTCTATTATAGTCATCAGTGCTAATTACAAATCCCAAATTATTTGCCAAGAATCCCGGCATTTTTCGACCTCAAAGAGGCCGGAACCCGGGATCCCGGGACTAACATTCCTAGTATTTGTGCACCTATGTATGTATGTATGCATAAACGTTTGATAATTTACTAATTAGGGTAATATTCAACGCAACTAACCATTCATACATACATACATACATAGTTGGATAGCAGATACATGCGCCTATCGTAGTTGAAACTGCTCCCGCTGGTAATACATATATATGTATATACATATTTACTTCATAACCAATGTATATGTGGTCTGGTAGATTATGTTGCTGCTACTGATTTGTTAGGTTTTAGAAGATATCATTGCCGACAACAACAAAATCACCTTGTGCTTGCTACTCAGTATTTTTATTGTTGTTCATTTGATCAGTAGGTAAAAATTGTTCTTATTGTTGCTGTTGTTGTTGCTGTTTTATTACTGGCACTCGAAGCCTCATCTCCGCAATGTTCCGGAACTGCATCTAGGGCTTACCCATTCTCCTGTGTACCTTCATAGCTCGCCCAATTGTGCTCGATATGTCAGGCTGCTTTTAGGTTTATTTGTTTTCTAGTCTGTTTGCCTACTCGATTATTTGGTTTGCCTTTGGTTTGACTGCGCTCAATAGCCACACTGCATTGCCTATATCTTGCTGTGTATGCTAATATGTTTGTGTCGCTTACGTTTTGATGGGTAACATGCCACAAGCACTTGAGCGAGTGCCAAATCGTAGTAGTTTGCACAAAAGCACGTCACAAACAAATGGACAGATAGATGGAGTAGGGACGCACTTACACGTCCTTGTATACGTGTATATATATATGTATGTGCATGCGTTTGTGTTCATACTCTACAGAAGCAGAGTCAATTACATAACGTGATATACACAATTGTTAGAGTACCCACATATGTACATACATAGAAAGTTGCACACTGGGACCGCCCCAATAAGCGTGTGGTCAAAATCTTGAAATCATTTTCCTTCCATTAGACTCGCTTGAACTACTTTTGAAGAGTAAATTTTTGACGTCTAAACCCATTATTGATCATGCATTAACCCATTGCTGACCCAGTTTTTTGTAATGTCTTATGTTAAGTTAATTTTATTTTATTATTGAAGTGAAACTTCTTTAGCGGTGGTTGGTTGGTTGGGACTAAATTGGTAAATTCAGGGGAAATTGCACACGGAATGGTTCAACGGAAATGATGCAACGGAAATGGTGCAACTTAAAAGGTGCAACGGAAATGATTGGGGCTGAAACAAGTGCTTCTTGAGCGTATGGTATTATTTAATTTAACAAAAACTTGCTAATAAAAGGTTAAAGAATAAAACTTAGAAAAAGACCAATACAATAATAAAAGTAAAAGTTAGTACGTACATTGATAAAGAAAAGGATAAAGGAAGAGGTACAAATAAAAACAAAAACAAAGATGAGTAAAGATAAAGGCAAAAATGGAGACCAAGGTAAATTTTAACAATTTACTTATATATATAAGGGCAAAGGTGAAGAGGAATATGTAGATGAAGAAAATGATAAATATAAAAGTAAAAACAAAGATGAGGATAAGGATACCGATAAAAGTAAAGACGAAGATAGGGAAAGAAAGATCAAAATAAAGGTAACCAAAGAGAAAATGATATGGAGAGAGACACAGAGGCTCAATCTGGGAACCATTTTGCGATTTTAGATATTTTCGGGATTCTCGAGACTTATCGATAAAATAATTGATATTTTTATCGGTTCTGTTATCGATATTTTTATCGATTTTATTATCGAAATTTGTATCGATATTGTTATCGAAATTTGTATCGATATTGTTATCAATTATGCTATCGATATTTTCGGAACTTATCGATATAATAATCGGTATTTTTATCGATTTTGTTATCGATATTTTTATCGATTTTGTAATCGATAAGTTTAACTATTTTGTTAGGGATATTTTTTATCGATTTTAGTATCGATTTTCATCGATTTTGTTATCGATATTATTGATTATGTTATCGATATTTACCATTTTTGTTATCGATGTTTATCGATTTTGTTATCGATATTAATCGATTTTTTATCGATATTTTTCGATTATGTTATCGTCTTTGTTATCGATATTTATCGATTTAGTTGTCGATATTTATCGGTTTAGTTATCGATATTTATGGATTTTGTTATCAATATTTTTAATGATTTTGCTAGCAATGGTATTATCGATGTTGCTTTTGAAATTCAAATTTGTTATCGATATTTCCATCGGTTTTGTTATCGATATTTTGTTGGACGTTATTATCGATTTTGTTATCGATAGAGTATAAAGATAAAAATGAAGATAATGGAAAAACAGAATAGCATATATGTAATAAAAACGAATAGGGGTAGAGGTAGAGGGATGTAGATAGAAAAAAGAGAAAAAATATAGCCTTAAGCAAAAGCGGATGAGTGTATGTTCACATTGGTTAAGAGACAAAATAGATAAGTAATGTAAGTTTACTTCTCCAGTGTGGCCCAGGCGCATTTACTTTTTTATGTAAAGTATTAATATTTTTGAACAAAAATTTTTTGTACATCACTATTATACTCGTAAAGTGATTTGTGTTATTTATTATTACCCTGAAGGCATTATATTCGTTTTTGGTTTTGAAAACTTTGTTATAACAAGATCTCATTTTTAAAATAAAAGATTTTTTAAGCCGATTTCATGAATTTTATAAAACAACCATTTGCCGATTTTTTTTCAGAAATCGCTCTTTTCTTTTTAAACAATCTAGGCACCCTGGTCGTAAGTGCCGTATTGTCGTATGTCGTAATGTTTTTAATAATGTAATGTAATAAATATTTAGACGACTTGAAACCACAGCCAATTAATTTTTAACGTTGTGAAATTTCATAACACGACTTTTATGGTAGCTGGCGAATCCCTAAATATAGTTTTAGCCCTTTAAAGTTTGCGACATACTACAGTACGACGGTATACAACCCCTTGTGAACTCCCTAATTATATATTAAAACATTTAACTTTACATATCTCACAATCTATTTTATATAATTTTTCTTCCAGCTAATATATTTATGACATCTGAGTTGATTTCTTCGCTTCGATCTTTAGTTAAATACAAGTAAAGGATCACAATGGAACCAAATTTTGACCGTTGGGATTTTGCGGTACTAATTACCATCCTTCTCATTTCTGCAATGATTGGCATTTATTACCGTTATACGGGCGGCAAGCAGAAAACAATCAAGGAATACCTATTGGCCGATCAGAGCATGACCACATTTCCAGTTGCTGTTAGTTTAATGGCGAGCTTCATGTCCTCCATCACATTATTAGGTGTTTCAAGCGAAAGCTACCAGTTTGGTACTATGTTTTGCATAATAAACATCGCTTACATTATAAGCACGCCGATAGCCGCATATTTGTTTTTGCCTGTTTTTTATCGCATGCGTACCTTGAGCGTTTATGAATACTTGGAGCGACGATTTGGGCACTCGACGCGTCTCGCTGCTTCACTTGTCTACTCCGTACAAATGATCCTTTATATGGGAATTGTTCTATATGCGCCAGCGCTTGCACTCGAAGCTGTTACAGGAGTAAGCAAGACCACAGCTATATTGGTTATAGGACTCCTTTGTACATTCTACTCTACTATTGGCGGCCTAAAAGCTGTGCTTATAACAGACGTTTTTCAATCGCTTCTGATGTTTGCTGCAATCTTCGCAGTAATTGTGGTGTCTGCCATTAAGGCGGGTGGTTTGGCTCCAATATGGCAGGAAGCTGAAAAGAGAGATCGTTTTTATTTCACGGATTTTTCTTTGGATCCCACAGAGCGGCACACATGGTGGAGTCTTATTATCGGAGGCATGGTGACATATTTGTCGTTGTATGGTATTAATCAGGTGCAAGTGCAGAGGTTGTTAAGTGTGCGAAATCTCGAGAGCGCGCAATCGGCACTCTGGTGGAATTTACCAATTTTGAGTACACTCAGTTTTAGTACCTTATTTAGCGGATTAGCTATATTTCACTACTACAGAAACTGTGATCCTCTCCTGGAAGGAAGAATACAATCAAGAGATCAGTTGATGCCACTTTTTGCCGTAGACACGATGGGTAAGAGAGTGAAAAAGAAACATGTGTATAACGATTACACTATACGGCAAAATCAACTTTTTTTTCTGGGTATTGGACCCAACCAATTTTTTTCAAAAAAAAAGATTGAGTCAGGTAAAAAAGTCAGTCAAAAAAATTATATACAGTTTAAATAAGAGCAACAGCCGGACCACGCCTAAGTTTTTACTTTCTTAGTTGTTTACATACAATATTTTTTTTCCAATTCCGAACTTCGAGGCCCATATCTCGTTTTCAGGGGCTAACTTGGAAAAACGGAGAAAATACTTTTTTTAATTATGACTCAATCCCTTAAAAAAGTTGGTCTGGTCCAATGCCCAAGTGCTGTACCGTGTTATTTCCATGGTGTCCATCTTTTGATATTTTTTTTTTAAATTTATATTTGGCCGTTAATTGAAGATTCTGTTGATTTTTTTAGATCTCAAGGCCGGGTTTATTTCAACCCGGCCTTGAGCTAAAAAAAAATCAACAGTATTTTTTTTTGTTTTTTACAAAATTAAATTATTTAAATTAAAAACGTTCTTGATAGCATAGTTGGATAGTCACCTAATTAGGATTAGGACCTAAAAAGCTGTAAAAAAGGCAAAATAAAATAACGAAATAGGCTAGAAAAGGACCATTTCATTGTTACTGGTGGGACATTTTACTCCAGAATGTGAACAATTGTGAATTTTAACTATGTCGTCGGAACTTATACAACAGCGAAAGATATATTTTAACATAGAACGAATAATAAAATAGTGTAATATCGACATACATCAATTAACTTTTCTGAGTTTGCAACCAATATAAAATAGTCTACAATGATTTCATATAAAAATGTTTAACGATAAAATAGTATATAAGCAAATGCTTTCGGAAAAATGGGCTCAAATGGCATTTCTAAGTGAACATGGTACAGATTTTTTTTTGTAAATTAACAGCCACAATAAACAGTGTGGTGTATTTAAAATATGAATATTGTCGATTGGATTATAAAAACTTCTAAATCGTTTTTCTCAAAACTATACTTTTCATGTTACACTACTTCATTATTCCAGCGACGATATGACACCGTCAGAGAAAAATAGTCCAAACGCACAATTTTTTTTTACCCAACTACTTATAAAAATTGTTGGTTGGGCCATTTCTGTTCATAGGCACAAAATAACAGACATAAATCCACTATGAGGGAATCATACATGGAGCCTAAGCAGTGTTCCCATTTTGATGCTTTGGGGCTAGATTTAGTTCGTTTTATTTTAAATTGGCCCGGTAATTTGCTTTTAGCCCCTAGCTCTTTTTTTAATTTGAAACAGCCCTTTGAGCTTCAAAATTCTTAACTTGATTTTAAACATTGAATTTAAACATTTATGCTGCTTGTGTGGAAAAACACATTTTCCACTGAAAGAGTGATTGAAGCAAAAAATTTAAATTGGCCAGTTTTATTAAATTNGCCTAAGCAGTGTTCCCATTTTGATGCTTTGGGGCTAGATTTAGTTCGTTTTATTTTAAATTGGCCCGGTAATTTGCTTTTAGCCCCTAGCTCTTTTTTTAATTTGAAACAGCCCTTTGAGCTTCAAAATTCTTAACTTGATTTTAAACATTGAATTTAAACTTTTATGCTGCTTGTGTGGAAAAACACATTTTCCACTGAAAGAGTGATTGAAGCAAAAAATTTAAATTTACCAGTTTTATTAAATTTGTCAAAAATTAAACATATTCTGTCCGATTTGAGCGCCCTTATGCTTCACATTTTCATTATAGAATTGTCCTTCATCCTAATTTTCTTAATTTCTTTTTTATACTAAGTATATCAATTGAAAGGAATGAATAAAAGTAAACCATTTTCGGAAAAGCATGAAAATTTCCTTATTTTTCGAATTTAAAAGCCTGAAACTCAAAAAGTACTATTCTTGTAATTAATGAAAACGTAGTGTATATATTTTTTTATGTTCTCTTTTTACGTGTTTTGAAGCTCAGAATTTTTGTTTAGAATAGTAATTCGTTCTCAAATAAAAAAAAAAATATAAATAAATCGATGAATAATGACTGCCTGGAGAATACGAGAACACACCTATTGTTTTTAACAATTTTGAACTTTTTAAAGAATCCAAGAGGTTGGATATAAAAAATGATTATAAAATCCATAACGTCACTAGAGACGAATAAAGGCGCGAGCTCAAAAGTTTACCGCGAAACAGACGCATAAAAAACTTCATCGAAGAAAGACGCCCAAAACCTAGTCGACGGCGAAGAAAGTCGCGTTAACTTATTTTCGTGGTATACTATAGGGCTGTTCAGGGTCTTTTGCATATGCCCTTGTATTTGCATATTCGTTGCATTTGTAAATTCAGAACAATAAAATGCACACGGTTGCCATGGCAGCAAGCACAAAATTTGCAAATGAAATTCCAACTGCAAATCGGTGATCGGACTTAAAAAAAATTCTGTGTGGTAGAATCTGCAAAAAAATGTGGTAGATTTTAAAAAAATGTGGTAGATCTCTGGGTTTGGATCAAAATTTGTACAAACATTAAAAAAAATCTGCAAGGTTTCACCTAAATGGCAAACTTTTTAATTAGACTAAAAAAATTGTAATTTTAGTATAATAAAGTGCAAGATTGAAGTTGCTAAAAATTGTGTTGAGTTTTTTTTTTGTCCTTGACAGTGTAAAGCAGTTCCTTCCATATTAGGGTATTTTTCGAACATATTTTAAGAGATTTCTGCAACATTGCGGAGTGCTGCCAGCTTTTCTGTTTATCACTATCACATCACGAAGTAGCGAACAAATGTGGCACATTCCTGAAACAGCTAATTGGGATTTGCCGATTTTGTCAATTCTCAAGGAAAAGTAAGCAACGCCTTAGAAACCTTAGATGCACTTAAATTTGCTAATACTTTCACAAAAATCGCCGTTTTTTAACATTTTCGCTATTCATTCTTTTTATAAATCATTTATTTTGCAATTTAACACAATAAAACCGCGTTTTCTCTCGAAAAATGTATTACTGAGAAAATTTACTATTTTACAATTTATTTTATTCTCCCATTCGGCTTTGTTTACTTTTGCTTGAGAAATTTCATCGTCGCCGGGAATGCGGAATCTTGTATTATATCATTCTTGTTACCATATAGAGTATAGTGTTGGACAATTTTTTCTCTTAAAATTAAGAAAATTAGTCAGCCAAAAATGAAACTACACAAAAATGCGAATATGTGGTAGATTGCAGACCTTGTGTGGTAGATGCTCAAAAAAGTGGCAGATCTACCACAATGTGGTAGAAGACCGATCACTGCTGCAAATCCAAGACCATTTCCAAAACATTCTGAACAGCCCTTATGTTTGCGGGTGTAATAGTATGTGCATTCCCCAAAAAGTTTTTGGAGGATAATGCTGAAGTTACAGTCCTTGGCTAGGTATCCATCTATGATAACGCGTCTTTTTTCGCCGCCAACTAGGTTTACGCGTTTTTTCGTCAATGCGTCCTTTTTCGCCGTCAAAACAATGGCGCGCCTTTATTCGTGTCTAGTGACGATAAATATGTGTCTTCGGCTTGTGGGAAAGGTATTAAAGTAAAGTGGCCTAAGAAAAATCAAGACATACTCAAACCTCTTGGATTTTTTAAAATGTTCAAAATTATCGTACAGAGTTATGAATCATCAGGGAACGGATTTTTTTGGAAATTGCCTTTTTTCTGCTAAAGAAATAGAGTATATTCGATTAAGAATGTCCATGATTTAGCTTTCCCTGATTCCATATATACACATTTGAAGTTGCCTTTTTTTTAAAAATTACCTTTTTTGCCTTTTTTACCTTTAATTGTAAAGGGCACGGAAAAAACCCTTTTTCTTGAATCTTGAAAAAGCTAAATCCAACCTCTTGGATTCTTTAAAAAGTTCAAAATTGTTAAAAACAATAGGTGTGTACTCGTATTCTCCAGACAGTCATTATTCATCGATTTATTTATATATTTTTTTTTATTTGAGAACGAATTACTATTCTAAACAAAAATTCTGAGCTTCAAAACACGTAAAAAGAGAACATAAAAAAATATATACACTACGTTTTCATTAATTACAATAGTTTACACCAAGAAAGGACTTCACTAAAAAGGGTTCTTTTAGACTTATTTAGGGGCGCCACACATGAAAATAAGTTTCACTCCGGAAAATCAAACGCAACTATTCTTCTTTAAATACCTTTCAAAAGATATATGTATTTAGCCTCATTGCGTTGATTTATTTTTTTTTTGTCAATCGGAATAGTACTTTTTGAGTTTCAGGCTTTTAAATTCGAAAAATAAGGAAATTTTCATGCTTTTCCGAAAATGGTTTACTTTTATTCATTCCTTTCAGTTGATATACTTAGTATAAAAATGAAATTAAGAAAATCAGAATGAAGGACAATTCTATAACGAAAATGTGAAGCATAAGGGCGCTCATATCGGACAGAATATGTTTAACTTTTGACAAATTTAATAAAACTGGCCAATTTAAATTTGTTGCTTCAATCACTCTTTCAGTGGAAAATGTGTTTTTCCACACAAGCAGCATAAATGTTTAAATTCAATGTTTAAAATCAAGTTAAGAATTTTGAAGCTCAAAGGGCTGTTTCAAATTAAAAAAAGAGCTAGGGGCTAAAAGCAAATTACCGGGCCAATTTAAAATAAAACGAACTAAATCTAGCCCCAAAAGCACCTAAATGGGAGCACTGCTTAGGATCCATGTATGATTCCCTCATAGTGGATTTATGTCTGTTATTTTGTGCCTATGAACAGAAATGGCCGAACCCACAATTTTTGTTAGTAGTTGGGTAAAAAACAAGTAAAGAAGTATAAGTTCGGGCGTAACCGAACATTATATACCCAGCGCACATATTAAATATCGTTTTTTCACCTTTCAGTAAACTGCATGATAAGCAAGAGTATTTTTCCAAACATTTCGATAATATACTATGATTTATTGAAATAATTGGACCAAGTTTGGTGGAAATCGGTAAG